GTGGTGCGAAAGGTAGAATGTGAAAACGAACGACCGCGTTGCAATATTTAGCGAAAATGAAAATCTCACGGCACACTGCAACAACCAAACCTGCCAAAACACATGCGTACTAGGTGTGCCACCATGCGATCATGATTATGTGGCAGCTCTCTGTTCCTGGCAGATTCCTCGCCGAGTGGTCGTCCGTTGTAAGCAATGGTAGCGTGTAGGGTTATCTACTGACGAAAGTGCCCTGTACAGTAGGTCTTCTGGAGCTTCACCGCGATCGCGGAAAGAGCAGCGTCGCTGCCTTCGTGGGGATGGCTCCTTCGACGTTTGCTCGCTAGGAGGTGGAACAGCACAATTTTTGCTTTCTTTTGTGCCAGCGAGCTGCGCAGTAGCCATCTTGCTGTCTCACAAGCGCATCGACGATCACGATCTCGTGAAGAGAAACCACCGATCGAATCTGGTTCGACGGTGCTGCGTGGGTCTTGTCGGCGAATAAGCACAGCCCGAGATGCCCTCTCGTAGTCTTTACGGATTGGTCAACAGGTCGGAGGAAGCTAATCGTTATTCCTTGCGCTGCTACTCTCTTTACGTCAATAGCTGACCCGTTCCTCTGCGTTGCGTGTTTTTACATGATGTGATGGTCCACGCGTTGGGCATCTGGCTCGTCGCTGAATATCGCATACACGTGTCGTGGAACTCTGCGCGTAGCCTCAACAACTAGTCATCGGGCAAACGCGCGGTCGACATGGTGTGGCTGGTTCTACGAGCCTTTGTGCTGCACACTGGCTGGCTCGCCCGAAATGACCGCGTCTTCCATCCCGAGGCGCCCGTCTGACGCCCGAAGCGGCCGCTACCCGCGCCGCGTTGTTGACCAAGCTGCATTTTCACCACTTGCTGCTGACTACCCAAGCGATGTGTCTCTTCGACATGATGAACGCCCTGCGCCACGACGTCTGGCTTCGTGACCACCTGGTCCCGGCTTGCGCCATCCATACGCCTCGCCTGTGACACGGCTAAGCCTTGCTGTCGAGCACAACACGCTCCGAGTCGAAAGTCCACCCCCAAAAACCAGCTCTGTGAAAATTATACATGAATAAACTCACTTCAACAACTAGTCATCGGACAAGATTCATTCCGCATGCCATTGAATCTCGAACCGGTTACGGCTCGGGTGGTGCTGGTGACGGCGGGTCGCAAGCACCGATGATGTGCGCCACGGGCAAGCAGATCAAGAAGACGTAGGTACGCAATATGATGCTAGTATTCGGGTGTAAACGATAGAGCGTTATCGACGATAACGCTCTGTCGTTTACACCCATTTAAATTGCTAAATTTAAATCGCAGGTGCAGGAATTTTAAAAATATTTTTTGATAATACCTACACCTGCGAAAACACATGTGTCCACCATGTGACGACGGTTTCGTCATGCCAAACGAATAATCCGTCATGTCGGGGGGTCGTAAACGGACGGTTCTTCAAGGAATCACTACTGTGTACAGGTAGGCCACATACTAACTGTGTACAGGTAGGCCACATACTATTGAACGTTACCGTGTGCTGTTTCTTGGTTGCTACTACACACATAGAAAGTACTACTAGTAGTACTAAGCTACATGTATATAGCTTGGCTCCTTGTTTCCTTGGCGTACGTGTTTCATGGCGGGAATTATTGCCAACGAGCTGCACAGTAGCCACAACAATGCATCGCACGTGTATCGCGTGTTTCTGAACATAGTGGTTGTCAAGAATCTGACTCGTCACTGAATATCGCGCATCCGTGTCGTGGCACTCCGCCTTCCAGTTTTCATTTCAATGTCGCGGGTTCAATTCCTCCTCGCCGCTCTCATCGCCACCGTATCCGCCATTGCGCCGGTACCAACTACACCGCACTTTCCGTGCTATGAGTGCGCGACGAACGGCAGCTGCGCCAGTGCAAGCTGGCATGGCGACGCCGGCAAGTATTGCGGCACCTTCGCCAGCAAGAATACACTCGTGCCGCAGTGGTGCTGCTGCGCTATAGCTCAATCATGTCCGGTGGCCGGTCGTGACACGCTGTGTACTTGCGATGGGCCGATACCGGCGCCCCCAGCGCCCCCGGCCGACCCAAGGGTTTGGATCTACCTCGGGTTCCTTGTCGGGCCAGGCCTCGTCTTCATTCTCTACACGCTGTGCCGTCATTGCTTTGGCATGGCCGACGAGACGTGGATTGAAAAGCAATATATTTTGGAAAATTCAACCCGCGCCCCCGAGGTCGACGACGCCGACGCTGAAGCTGAAGCTCGTGCTGCCGAAGCACAAGCTCGCGCATCTGCGGCGAGGGCGGCCGCTGAAACGCGACGGATTGAAGCCAACCGCGAATACAAAGCGCGTCGGATTGCAGAAGAGAAAGAGGCGCGTCGGCTCGCGCGCGAGGAAGAAGCTCGGCAGCGTGAATTCGATCAATATCCCGAAGCCATTTTCGTCTCGACGATTCCCATATCCGCCAAAGACGCAACTATCTGAATGCAATTTAGACATATAATACGAGTAAATGTATCCATCTCAATTTCAATCTGCACAAGTGTGTTTGTTGAAAATCGGTGAGTTCATTCGCATAGCTCAAAGACATAACGAGCGAGTCTGCGTGCTATGAAAGATAATATTGCCCACGAGACACTATGGCGTTGGTATGCCCACGGCGCCCAATATCGGTACAGCACTTGATTATCGATCCGTCCGAAGTGGTTTGTTCCTACAAGGTTTATTGGCCCTTGGTTCCTAGAGCTTTTGGTTTCACGATCGCAATCAACGTCACGCCATCCTCGCATCTGTGTCGACACAGAGCCACGCATGGGTCCTCAAGGATTGGTCATTTCTTCGCAATCAGATCGTAGCCCATGGATTTCAAAAACAGTTCTGGATGCTGTTTCTGTGCGATGCCGGGGACCAGAAGTGGTGCGAGCAAACCGCAAGAAAACCTACTGGCGACAAGCAGGCACGTGGAGCCAAGCTGACGACGGTCGTCACCACGGCATTTTGGTGCCGCGTTCGACGGCTCCAGATCGTCAAAGATTATGTACGTTCTGCGTACAATGTGCAAATCGTTTGTACTCAGTCGTCTCACAACCGTCGACATTTCTATTCATGAGTGCTGTCTTCACATGTGTCGCAGTGTAAGAGCTTTCAAAAACTGTGTTTCGACATAGGGTCATGGTGGGCAAGAGGGCTCGTTGGTGCTAGCGTGCTTCTGCGTGGCAGGTGCGGCGTACGTGGGCGCCAATGTCGCTTGTTCAACGACGACTTGAGCTGTCACTGCCTCGCGTTGCCGTCGCGCTTCATTTTGAGCGCGCTTCCTGCGGCGCCAGCAGTCCGAGTTGCAATTTACAAACTCCAGCAAGACAACGCCGTAGAAAAGTCCGATGATGAGAACAGAATCGCACCAAGGATTACAAGCGACGTGACGTTGTACGGGACTGGGCGGCGCGGGAGACTGGACGCTCGCGCAGACACAGCGTGCGTCGAGGCCGGGCGGCGGGCACATTTGAACGACGGAGCAGCAGCACGCCTCCAAGAGCGTTGTGTCTTGGCTCAGAAAGGCGCCGCAGTACTAGCCGAGCTCGCCGCTGGCACCGGCGCTGAGACACTGCTCCGTCGTTGCGGACACGTGGCATGGTGATCGACTCGGTATTGTCGTCGTTGCCGAGGTGGTGGTGGCGGCGGCTACGAGAAGCACCGCTCGCACCAGAAAAGAGGTCGACATGATGCCTTTTTGAACATTGGCTTCTGAACCAAAAATGTTCTGGATTTTGATATAGCATAAACTATGGATCCCAGAATTGTCCGAACGAAATTATGAAACAAAACTAATAGTTTGAAAAGTTGAATTTCATTGTGCGCGTTTGAGGCATGACATACTTCTATGTATATGTGTAGCTACTATAGCTACGTGTACACGAATGGAGCGTGCCACGACGCTGTACCGTCAGACCGTAATGTCGTCACGTCGTCGATAAAGTAACATATCGGCTTGACTGTTGGCTCCGATACGTCGAGAGCAAGCTCCGACTCCACGACCCCAAATTCCTTATTCTCGACGAGAAGCGGCTGGACGCGCGCATCCGGCATCCGTGCAAGACGCAGCCGCTCGGCTTCAATCTCTTGCCACACGCGTTCGTGATCCTCGAGGCTTTCGCAATACGCGCCTCTTGGTCTGCACGCGCGGCATCCCACGGTCGACCAGCATGTCCAGTCGCAACACAAGCAGTACGCCAGGACAAGGAATAGTGCCGCGCCCGCTGCAGGCAACACGATGCTCGAAAGCCAATCGATCGAATGCCCGTCCGACGGGATCTCGGTGCATGTGCACAGCGCATCGGTAGCTTTCGGACACGCGAGTGCCACGGCGCAGCAGCACGACTGCGGCGACATGGTCGCCGTCTCGAAAAAGACGCCGCAGTACTTTGTCGCGCTAAGACCGGGGCCACGGCACTGCCCCGTTGTCGCGCACAACTCGCAGACCGAGACAATGGATGGTATGTTTGTCATGTTGGACGCGGCAGCGACGCTTTGTTTCAACACGAGACCGAGCATCAGAGGCCAGAGAAAACGGAAGACGTGAGTGGGCATGGGCGCGCGAGTGGTTGTGACGAAACCTTTGAAACAAGGTTTGCCCCAACGTGCGGCGTCACTCCTTTATGTCGCGCACAAGATCAGCTCTGACAAAGAGGATGGATGCAGTGCAGTTGCCTTGGACGGTTGGACGGGACGCTTACCGTTCCATGCGACATGCATAAGACTATCATTCTTGTTTACGTGGCAGCCTCAGATGCCAGGGACTGCAGTACAAGATTCGAGTCAGTCGCAAGGGAATCTTTGCCTCTTGGTCATGTGTTGCAAGAGCCACGCGCAATGTTCCTACAAAGACAACCACATGACGCGGTTCTCGT